CGTCGGGAGCTGTCGCAGTGCTGTTCTTGCGCGATGGGGCTCGGGCGGATGCCGCAACAGAAGCCGACGAGGCCGGCGGGGAATTGGAGCGCTGGCTCATGCTTTTGCCATCTGCCTCAGCCTCTCGTTTAGCTGACGTCTCCACGCCCGACGCGGCCGTAACGCGTCCACGGAACTATTCCGGTGAGTCCTGCACGTGTGGGACGCGGTCCGAGACGGCGAGCTTCGGTGTCGATAGATGCGCAGAATGTGTAGGATGTCTGGTTTGAGGTTCAGAGGGTCTCTGGGTTGAGAAACAGGTTCCAATCATGTCTCGATGGAGCCTACCAAGTATGGCTCCCCGCAGAGCCTCAGTCTTGGACCCAACCACTTGCTTCGGCCAGTCGTCGTCCAAGCTTCACATGCCACCACCGTGAAACCTCAAGCTTCATAGCAGCCCCGGAACCTCCATGTCTATGCGGTGATAGTCAGACCCTTATCGCTCTTATCTGAGCGGCCTGAACAGGTAGGCGCGGTGCAGCATCGTCATCGCGATGTCACGTTCTACGAGGCGGCTGACACGTCCAGGAAGCTACAACGGCGCCCCAAACCTCACACCTCACCTCTACCACGTAACGTTGACCCCACCATGGACCCGCGTTCGTGGTTCAGCAGCCTGACGGGCTACTTTGTCTACATCCTGTCCATTGCGACTCTCGGCCCGCTCCTCTTCGGCTTTCACCTGGTGGGTCCCAACGTCATGCTTGCTGGCGCATAGCTAACACGCCCAGTCTGAGCTGAACGCGCCCGAAGATGTCATCCGCTGTAAACGCAAGTCCATCACGTCGGCCGTCGCTGGCCCGAACCTCCCGCAATGCATCGAGATGAGCCCAACCGAATGGGGCGTCGTGGGATCGCTGTACACACTGGGAGGTCTGGTAGGAGCGCTTTCAGCAGGGCCAGTGGCAGGCAAATACGGCCGCCTCAGGTCTATGCAGCTATTCTCCATCTTCTTCGCCGTGGGCCCAATCTTCGAGGCGCTGAGCCCAAACATTGGAGTCATGGCGTTTGGACGGCTGTTGTCAGGAGTCGGCGCAGGCGCGGCCGTCGTCATTGTGCCCCTCTACATCTCTGAGATTGCACCGCCGGGCGAGAAGGGCTTCTTTGGTGCCTTTACTCAGATCGGGTGCAACGTGGGCATTCTGATCACGCAGTTGCTGGGCTACTTCTTGAGCCACGACTCTTACTGGAGGCTCATCTTGGCCATTGGAGGTGTCATCGGTGCTGTACAAGGCGCCGGGCTGCTGCTGTCGGTCGAGAGCCCAAAGTACATCGCAGAGCAGGGTAATGTCTCGCTCGCGAAGAAGACTCTGCGCAAGATCAGGGGAGAAGATGCAGACATTGAAGACGAGATGAACGATTGGGGAGTCTCCGGCTCCGGCAACGTCAGTGGTACGTTGGTCTAAGCCTCTTAATTGATGGACAACATGCTAATATCTTTCCAGAGGAGGAGCAGACGCTACTGAGCAACGAAGATGGGTCGGCTGAGGCGAGGCCCAAAGAGTCAGGCAAAGAACAGACGCTGAGCATTATGCAAGTCTTCCGCCATCCCGACTACCAAAAGGCCGCTATTGCCGTCGTCATGGTCATGCTCGCCCAGCAGTTTAGCGGCATCAACAGCATCGTCATGTACGGCGTGTCGCTCCTAGCAGGCTTGCTCGAGTCGAACTCCGCGCTGCTCAACCTTGCCGTCTCAGCGCTCAACATCATCGTCACCGCCGGCTGCGCGCCCCTTGCTGACAAGCTGGGTCGCAAGGTCTGCCTGCTCAGCTCCCTTGCCATCATGGGAACGAGCTCGCTGCTACTTGCTATTGGCATCATCAAGTCGATCTCTGTTCTTTCCGCAGTCGCTGTCCTGCTGTTCGTGTCTGGCTTCGCTGTTGGTCTTGGCCCGGTGCCCTTCATCCTAGCGAGCGAGCTGGTGGGCCCGGATGCCGTCGACGCAACACAAAGTATCGCGCTCGGAGCCAACTGGATCGCTACATTCATCGTGGCACAGTTCTTCCCGCTGGCAAGCGCAAAGCTGCACGGATATGTCTACTTCATTTTCGCGGCACTCTCGGCGTTCTTCTTCGTTTTCATTACGTGGTTTGTGCCCGAGACCAAAGGCAAGAAGAACGCAGACGAGGTTTGGGGTAGAGAGCGTCGGGTGGACTGATTCATGCGATGTTAAAGGGTTGACGGGGCTGACTTTGGCGATTTTGGTACAAGGTCGAGCTGCCCGCTACGTCACCGGCAAAGCGCCTTCGCGCAATTTCTTCACAATCCAAGCCAGTTCCCTCTCTACGTAGTGGTCATCTCGAAAATGCCGAAGATCCTGAAGCCGCATTCTTGGCCGAATCAGCAATTGCCTGGGATGCACAGAAAGAGGCACTTTCGAACGCAAAGCTGAGGGCAATGTAAGGCATTTGTTCGCATGTGAAGGAAAGAGGCTCTGTAGTCAGAAAATCGAAATTCTTGAGTCACATGTTCCTCCCGAAAACCAGCGGTGCAATTGCTCCAACTTGACGGGTAGGCAGCCAGCCGAGTCGGGGAAATAATCGTCGGAAGCGTCTACTCCGATTCCTAATTGCTGACACAAGTGGTGTGCTTAGTGATTTTGCGCAGCCGCGGCTAGAAGGCGGCGGGTCCGAGCAGCGGCTTCGGATATGTCATTCAGTCATTCGACCCCACTGGCGCTGGAGAGTACCTCACGCCTTCAGTCTCACTTGCGATGCGATTGCAGTACTAGAGCTACTACCCTGCCCTTTCACTTGTCATCTGTGCTTTTTTATGTGCCCGCTCCAACATGCCCTCCTCCAACATGACTGCATTCCCGCCGCATTTCTCACCACACCTCTCGAGCGCCGGCCGAGACGGCTTCGACTTCCAGACGTCACAGCTCGAGGGAGAGACGCCAGAACGGGTCGCAAACGGCGATGAACACCACAGCCCGCCGCCCTCGATAATATCGCCCGCCTTCACGCCTCCAGCGACACCGGGAGTCTCGACCCCCTCGCGGCCCCGGCCACCCCGCTCCATACCAGTCGATACCTCAGTGCGCACCGACACGCCGCGGCCGGACCTCCTGCCCAAGCTGCCCACGGTCGAGTGCGAAGTGCGTGCGCGGATACCCACAACCACAGGGCATGAGATGTGGCTGCACGTGTATAGGAACAGCGTAGACACCAAGGAGCACCTGGCAATTGTCTTCGGGAGCCAAATACGCTCGAGATCGCTGGATGCAGAGCGACCGGGAGAGACGGAGCTAGACCGCATGACAAGAGGCGCATACGTAGGACGCCTGTACCCTGGGAGAACCAGCTCGCGAGTTGAGCAGCTCAAGAGGCAGGAGGGCGTCCCCTCGAAGCGCAAGCCCGACGCCGACTCGGCGCACGTGGATAAGAGCAACGGCCTGTTGTCGCCAGCCTCTGCATCCTCATCCGAGAACGGCGACGTGCAGCCGGCTTCTTCACTAGAATTGCCTATGGTTCGCATACACTCCGAATGCTACACCGGCGAGACTGTCTGGTCTGCGCGCTGCGACTGCGGTGAGCAGCTCGACGAAGCCGCGCGGCTTATGGCCGATCCTACTCTGTCACCTTCTGGTGGTGCTATCATCTATCTCCGACAGGAGGGTCGTGGAATTGGTCTAGGCGAAAAGCTCAAGGCATACAATCTGCAAGATCTAGGCAACGACACATACGAAGCAAACATCATGTTACGGCATCCTGCAGATGCGCGAAGCTACGGCTTGGCCACGGCTATGCTCATGGATCTGGGCCTGGACGGAGACAGAGGGATTAGACTTTTGACCAACAACCCAGATAAAGTCCATGCTGTCGAGGGGCCGAATAGAGAAGTCGTTGTGAGGGAGCGCGTCGCCATGATTCCGCTTGCGTGGAAAACAGGCGGCATGAAGGGCATCAAGAGCGAAGAAGTAGAGAAGTATCTTAGTACCAAGGTGAGCCCACGCCAGATTGCGACACTTCGAGATGCAAAATTTGCTGACAATCATGCAGATCGAAAAGTTCAAGCACATGTTAGATCAGAAATAATGGCATTTAGATGGTTGACATCGTATTCCTCAGTTTCCGTCGCATCCGATAATGTGATCTGCTAGACGATCAACGGCGCTGACGTGGGGCGCAGAAGACCGCTCGGCCGCTCTGAAACCACTAAAATAATCATAACCTGCTTCACCTCACCGCGCCGCATCTGCGACCTGCGCCCCATCCTTCGCTTATCCTTGATTTTCAGACTCTCTTCGCGTATATAGCGGGTCGTCCATGGTCTTGGTTACGGCCATCATCCCGACAGCATGGCGAGCCCGCGAGACGACGCTGCGGAGAACCCCTTCCTCAGTCCAGCGGATGGACGCAGCATGAGGAGCTTCACCGCCGACTCCAAAAGTAAGGCGACCCCCCTGATTTGTATGCGTGAAATACTCAATTCGGTTAGACAGTTCGAGGAGCATGCTGCCACTTTTATACACCCAAGGCCTACTTGAACCACAACGAAGCGGATATTCAATAACACTACTATTGACGTCATTATACTCGACTTTATGTTCGGCCTTGTTCTTCATCGTCGCCTTGATACAGCCAAAGTATGGACATGTCGTATCAGCACGTGGGCGATTTTCCCCTTCCTCGGCGGCGCTATTGACGGCTTTCATCGCCAAGACTGTCGAGCTATCGTTCGTGATGGTATTCTTGGCGTTCATAGGGCAGGTCCTGTCGCGAAGAGCTATTCAGCAGAAAGGCATCAACTTGGCTAGTGTGTCGATGCGATCCTGGATCCTGTAAGTCGGCCGCGTTTCTGGCCAGCGCTCACGTTGGCTGATTTTGGAAAGTCAACCAGGGAAATTATTCAGCGGGTGGCACAGCGTCAGGGTCGCTGGCTTCAGTGTATTGGGAGTACTCTCACTGATTACGGCCATTCTCTCTCTACTATATACAACCGCTGCAGGTGCTCTTGGTATGCCAGTACCCTTGGTCTTCTATCACGAGTCGCTAACACATCTCAGTGCAACCACAGCTACGCCTCCCACCCTGGGAGCATCAAATGCTTGCTGGTCAAGTAGATGGCGACTTCTCCAGCACCCTGAAAGCTGATAAAACTTGTCTCACTGCCTGGCCTGACGTCGGCGACACACAATGGGGCGGTAGCACATGTCTCGCCATGAAGTGGTCTTCGCTCTGTGGCCGCAATTTCATCAAATACATGTCCGCATGGGACGATCAAGCAGCTGCAACAAACCCTGCTTGGATGTCTGAGCGCCTTCTGGAACGAAAGCCGATCAGTGCGTCGCTAGACAACAATGTCACCGTTACTACTGCGTGGCTTGATGATCATGATGTCGCAGCTGAGTCTGAGAAGGCAGGCAGGATAAGTCCGTAGCCGAAGTTCCTTAAATCTTACGTCGCTGACCTGGTATAGTCAACAACATCACTATAGCTGTCCCTCACCGAGGGATCCCGGCAGCAGCTCGCAATGTCCAGAATGACTTGCTGCAGCCAGAAGTAGGTAGATCATTCATGCCACATTCAATCCTTACTAATGATCCAAGGATCTCCATGATGGTGGCTCATACTCTATCCACGCTTCAGTCGCCAGCTTCGCACTCAACGCACTCTGTGTCAATGCCAAAGAGGAAGAGCTCGCTCCACTCATATATACCAATTGGCCCAATGCAATTCCGATGGAAGAAGGCTCGAAGTCAGTCAACTGGTGGCCAATCCTAGGATTTCCAGAAGGCACCAACACGAACAATAAAACGGTGCTTGATGATGTATTTGGATGGAAGGACGAGACGGAAGATCACTCGCGTGCTAGACCAAGTGAGTCCGATCCTCTGCATGAATGATATTTACTAACGTCACACAGTTTTCCTCAAGTACCCGAAAGCAGGAAACACGGTAAGTGGGACTGTCCCAATCGGAAGAAGAAAGACTAATTGGATAGATCGCAAACCACACTCAAGTACCCTACGAGCTCGGCGACCGACCAGAAGTCTACCTGCTCGGCAAAGCACCCGACAACACCACCAAAGACTACTTCCTCTGCTCCATGAAAGCCGGTATCACAACCTCCTGCACTACACGCTACAACGCCTCATCCGGCGGCCAAAGCCTCGAAGCCGTCTGCGACGACGCAAACGGCAAGCACAGCGACGACTCCGCCATCCAACCCCTCCGTTCCACCGGCGACAGAACAGCCCTAGTAGGTTGGCGCGACCTAGGTTTCAACCTCCTCAACTCCCTGAGTCTAAACAACGGTGTTTTCGACGGCGACGCCTCAACAGCACGCATATTCACCCAACTCCAACTCACAGAGCCCAAACTTAACAAGACCTTACCGAGTCCAGCAGAAGCACTCCTAAGCATGACAACATGCACAGTCCTAGACCTAACCCAAAACTTCCCCTTCCAACCCTTCTCCCCCACCTCCGCCTCCGACTTCACCACCCCCCAGATGCAGTATTTCAACGCTTCCGTCCGTGTAGCACAGTACATGTCCGGCGGCGAAAAGAGCTACCAGAAAGCGCTCCTTGTTGTTCTCGCCCTCACCCTCCTCATCAACATCTTCATCCTGATCTACTTCGCCGTTCTGCTGCGCATCAAACTCATCACGGATCTGTGCGAGCCGCTTGTCCTGTTTGTCCTTGGATACCATTCTCCGCCCGCGGATGGGTTGTTCCAGGGGAGGCCGCAGGAGGGGCCGCAGAAGAGGGATATGACGGTTGAGTGGATTGTTAAGAGGAAGGGGGAGCAGTTGGTTGTTGTGGGGATGGGGGAGAGGGATGGGGAGTTGGAAGGGGAGGGGAGGGGGAGTGGGGGGGTTGGGGGGTGGTTTAGGATGAGGAGGAGAGGGGGGGATAGAGGGGAAGATAGGGAGGAGGGGTCGCCGGAGGGGCTTAGGCCGTAGCAGACAGGGATGTGAAGATTGCTGCCTTGCCGTTCTTTTTCAACTGCGTACAATCCATCTATCTTTATCCAGACGGTTTCCTGTTGCTGGCTGTTGGTCTGGTAGTGGCTGGTCCAGGCCGGTCTAGTTCACTCACGCCCCACTTTTGGCAAGTGTGGCTGAGCGCACGCCACAGACGTACGTCGTGCGCTTCCCCTTCAGGCTGGACTGCCGCCTGAGGATATACTTGCTGTTGTGCCGACACTTCCGGTACTCTTTCTTGTTACTTCTCTGCTGTTGACATTTGCACAGTCTTCGGCTTTTCGACACGAATCTGAGAGTGTGGCGGCACAAGTACGGTCTCACCTTGGAGTTACCACGACGATCTCGTATACCAAAGCACAGATTGAGTGATCAGCCCGAACCAAAGCCAAGCCCCAGTCTGAGTCAATAGCGTACTCTCTTCACGTACGGTTTCCGCCTGCCGCCTCCGATCAGCCTCGTTGCCGCCTGTCTACAACACATTACAGCGATCAAAGCTACGGTCAAAGCCGTCTTCTCAAGAAGCCGCATTCGATAGCAATATCTTGCTTCCCTCTCAATTTGTGGACGATAGAGCAATACCGCATCAATTCGAAGCGCTGGTCGAAATGTCTCAACCCTCCTCCGCCTACGCTCAGATTAACGGATTCTACGGCCCTGGGACATGGGCAGCATGGGTCATCACTCTAATCGCCTCATGGATACCCATTCTGCAGAACGATCACAAGCACAACCTACATTACATCGGATACGCATTATATACGAACTGGGCTGCGGTCGATCTCATTCGCCAATGGGTACCAGCTTTCGGCCATTACAAAGAGCTTGAAGAAGTAGATCATACTCAGGTGCAGAATCTTCTCGCTCCTTTTGCGGTGATGCATGCTGGTATCTTCCATGCATCTCTGCAACTCTGGTTATGCGCGTTCATCGCGAAGCAGAAGGATACGAATACCAAGAAGGAGATCGAACAGCGTCGCGGCTGCATTATCTACGGCCTGATCTTTCCCGGTCTAACGAGCATCTTCGTTTTGCCAACCCTCGCCGGCCTTATGGTAGAGCATAATGTGGTTGGATTCTGCATCGTCATGCTCACAGGTTGGCTGATTGTGGGCGCTCTTCCCCTTCAGGCTTCGTCTCATATCAGTTCGGGAACTACATTGATCATTTTGGGTATAGTTTACATTCCGGTGCATTTTGCCGCTATCATTTGGGGCGTCTTTAAGAGTAACGACATAGTATTGAGGACGAGGTGTTCCGTTATTCCGTGTGCTCCGCAGGCGATTGGGGATTGGGATCAAGCGTTTTCTTTGTTCGGTGCTTTGTTCTTGTTCGTGTACGAGTATCAGGATCTTATTATACACCTTACGAGAAAGGCATTTACAGGTGCTTGCGCAAGCGGGAAGCGATTGGGCAAGTGGCTAAAGTCGTTGGTCGTCTGAAAGGTTGCAATTCTCTCTATGCGTTCGATGATGTTACGGCTTTGCAGATTCATACAATCGAAATAACCAATCAGGAAGGATATATCATGTTACCAGGAAGAAGTCGGTATTTTCTTTCTAATTGGAGTGTGACTTAGGTGCTACGACCTCGTCGTTGCTACTGACTGCCCAGGTGATCCGCAAACGTGCCTCATGTGAGCATTCCCACCACCTAGCAAGGAATATAAATAGTACAATAAGAAGTCGACACGCTCACCGTCCCAGGATCCCTGCTACTAGTAACTACACCTTGAGTCTCCGCCCCATTGTAGTTAATCGAGCAAATCTCAAAGTGATTGCTCGCGCTGTTGTACGCAGTGTGGAACGTAACATCGCCCAGGGTATGGCAATCTCCTGCAGAGACGGTACTGGTAGCGCCATTGAAGTTTTCCACGTCGGCATCGTGGTTGTAGTAGACTATGTCGTTGTTGACGTCGTAGCAGTAGAGTGTTCCGCTGGTTAAATCGACAGGTGTTTGGTAGTAGCTGCCGCCGCCGTAGGTGTGCGAGGCTTGAGCTTCGACTTTGCAGCGGGTTACGCCGTCATCTTGGCGGAGCTGGGTGGAGGGTTAGATGGGTGGCTATACAAGGGTATCGCCTTGTGTTTAGAAGAGGCACTTACGGCGAGATTGTTGGTGGGTGCAGCCATTGTGGTCGTGATGGCGGTTGCGAGTACCATCGCAAAGGAATTTACTGAGAACCTGGGTTCAAGTAAGCGATGTGTGTACTGTGGGATTGGAATGCACAACATACTGCATGATGGCGATTTGCGTGTGTTGTTTTTTTCGTAGCTGAGATACTTGGTCGTGTGATTGTATTGGAGAGTGATACAATGTTGCTGTGAGATGCTTCATCAATTCGCGGTCGAGCACCTCCTTTTATAGCTGATCATGAAGCCAGCATTGCTCGAAATCGACGATCGATCCGACCTTTCCATCTCATATTATGCCACCTACGTCTTTCTCCCCCGTGAAACCCACTTTCCCCATAAAATGCAGCATACGTGATCTACACGGACTGAGCTTCTCCGTCGAGAGATCAAGTGGAAAGGTCACGCCGTCAGCCTTGCGGATCCAATGAGCATTGCTAGTTACCAAAGACTTGTATCAGCGAAGCCTGAGATGGAAGGTACAAAGGTTTCAACTCGTCAGAGTACACTTGACGTGGTAACGGGCAAGGAGATCTACATCTAGTGACATACTTCATCCTGTAAGGCCACCTGCTAGAACCTGGGATCGCCAGCCGTTCTAATGTACCACCCAGGTATTCGGTATAGCACGTGGTCGTTCACTCACTCCAATACTTGGTCCCTGTTCAATTTCGTCAGTAGAGGCCAGTGTGGTACGGCCCATGTACACTGTGTTGATCATGATAGTCTTGTTGGGAAAGCAACAAGCATCTCACAAGCAACACAAGCTTTCCATATCAAAAATGTCAGTACAGCCCGTTGTCCAATTGATCTGTTTAGTAGACTCCGTTCCGGCATTGGTTCCGCGAGTATACGGTCGTATAGAAGGGATCACCCGCTATTGCCGTTAGTATGCAGACAATGGCTGCATCCGACGCTAGCATGCCGTCCTAGATTCTCTGGAGAATTGTGGGTATGAGAAGTATCGCCGTTTGGGAAAGCGGCGTTCATGTCCGCGGCATGGCCTCCTGTAGTGTTGACTTTTCCATCGTAGCCTGGGATGTAGTGCACATAGCGTAACGTATGGCGAATGAAGTGACCCAGATACATGGATGAACATACGAAGTCTAGTTAGAGACCAGACATCTTTTGAAGAAACCAAAAGCCTTCCGAGTAAGGAACGTAGAACACTGGGATAAATTCCGCGATACATCGCGTAGAATCTAGCAAGGCTGTCTCGGGAATGCAGTCTCCACATATTCGCATAACTATCTGGTTCGAGTTTAGTGTACCTAGTATAGCGCCAAACTTGTCGAATCGGATACGGGATACGCAGATCCGATGTATCGGGTACATGCTAATTGATCCAGATAGTGATGCGTGACGTACCTCGCTGCTTCGTGGTTGATTTGATGCCCAATGCCGTTCAATAATGGCGATTACCTTCCTTCACTAAGCCTTATGCGAAGCAGCCGAGCGCCTCACAACTTCCGAAATTAGTATGCACCCACCCAATCAGTTCCTCTCGAATCAGAAGTATCGTCAACATAGGAACTTCACTATGCCGTGGAGACATCTGGAGACTGGCAAGACTAGAAAGAAGAACATTGACTTCGTTCCACCAGTAACAATGATCAGATTTCCGCCCAGGTGCCCTCACGCACACTCCTTAGCAACCTGCCCAAGGACCTTCTCATACTCCGCCACAGTCGTCGCCCCCACAAGCGTAAAGTCCCTCTTCCTACCCTCAAAAATAACATAAGGCACGCTATCCACTCCATTCCCGGCTTGTTCCCTTATCGCCGCTTTCGTCTCCCTCAACTCCTCATCGCTATCTTCCACCAACTTCACTGCTTCCTCTTCACCCAGCCCAGCCGCCATGCACGCCTTAACCAACGTTTCGCTACTCGACGGATGCGCGCGCTGCTCAAAATACAACGTATACAGCGCCTTCACCGCTTCCAGCGCAGCACCATCCTCTTTATTATTCTGCAACCACTGCAACACACGATGCGCATGCAACGTATTCGCCACCACCCCACCCCCAAAATCAAACTCAATCCCCTCTTGTTTACCCAAATCACGCATCACATTCATATACTTCTCCATGCGGTCTTCGCTGCCGTCGTACTTTTCGTTCTTGTACCATTCATATTTGTTGACGCCTTCTTGGGTGGCGTCGGGGTAGAGTTGGTAGGGTGCTAGTTTGAGGGTGAATGTTGCTGGGGAAGAGGGGTTGGTGGAGCGGTAGGCGGAGAGGGCTTTGGTGAGGCGGATGAAGCCTAGGTATGTCCTGTGGGAGAGTGAGGGATTGGTCTAAGAAGTGGTGGTGTGGCGCGGAGGGTGGGTGCATGTACCAGGGACATATTGTGTCGAGCGTGAAGGTAATTGTTGATTCGTAGGGCATAATGGATGTAGCATACAAAAGAGATTTGGAATTGGTTGCTGTTCGATTCGTAGAAATTCGCGGCCTGGAAGGATTGCTTCACGACACCCTGAAGATGTTCGCAAGGTTGCAGGGGTTCCACTGCTCCATGTCTCCGGCACACGTCATGCGGGGTGCGGCGGAAAGATCACCGCCTACTGCACGCTAATCCTCTCGAGCACCGTATGCTAGCAACCCCAAATACGAACAGGAGCTTTGCCACATAGAAATGCTCAACGTGCAATGGACGGTACCCAGAATAGGATTGAAGATTAGTCTGAACAATGCAAATACATGTGCTGATCGCTTAAATCTAGCACAGAAGTCTAACGTAAACCCCGAACGATGCTGTAAACGCAACACTGGCAACACCATGCTTCAACATGTGTGGCCTCGTAACCGCAAGGTGGGAGATGGGGGACTGAATCCCTAATTCAGTTTGACGT